ACAACATAAACACACCTGGCTTATAATAATTTGTGTTTTTGCACACCACATTTTTGCTCAGCCTGAGAGTTTAACGCTTATTAAGCGATGTAGCAGAGAGGTACTCTGACCATAAGTCTGCAAGGTTATGAAATGGTATTAAAACTATAGGGAACAATCCTTAGGTGACAATAATCGTATTTTTATATGCTCATCTTCGTTAACAAAATTCAGAAAGACCTTATGTCTCATTATGCAAAAATGAACCCTTATTCTTTTAAAGAACAGCCAATATCAATTATACATAATACATTACGCGTAAAGCTCTTCTTCTCCAAACCTTTAAATACTACGCCAGCTCGTAATTTTTAGTAAAAATCCCCGATCTTCAGTGTAAAATAAGATCAATATTTACGATGTTTCCTTTTTTCAATGTACTCATTTTCAAGGTTTCTGACTTATTTAATATTATCCATGAATGTTTCTGTATTATAATAGGAAAAACGTGAATCTTACGAGCACGCGGTGAAAAATCTATTCAATAAACCTAGAACCCAAACTTTCCAAACTGGTGACACCCGATAGCGAATCTATACTCACCACCAGCCTCCCAATCGTGATGTTTATAAATTTAGCAATATGTTATTATAATTTTATTACCTTTCTGCAGCAATGGAAGCCTGAATTTGTTAATGTAAAAAGAATCTTTGGCTTATGCTAGAAAGATATAGTTTCCTATAAGTAGTGGTACTCGTATGATCATCATGTTTATGCAAGGCGTTAAGAAACCGGACCAGCGATAAGGAACAGTGTCGAATACGCAAGATGTCTGGTACTGCGGCCACCAATTCTATGCTATTTAACGAAAGTTTTAGTTGTTTGACCCAACATCATCATTAAATTGTCATCACCGGCCCGTAAATTTCACTGCTATCCTTCATCGTCGCGATTTGCAGGCGGATTGACGATCACAATACCAGATGAATTGCACCTTTGACGTTGCTGCTCGTCCCTGGTATAGATATTTTATTTAGGACGTAAAAAGGATCAAAAACCAGGCATTTTCCATAGTCACCATAATTGTTTCATAATTATTTATACGTTTTTTTTTTTGACGTGACAACGTCTAATAAATCGATGTCCGCCGGCTGGACGCATGAAAAAGGATAACTCATTGTAACGTTAAGCTCATTGTAACGTTACGTACGTACGTACGTTGTCACGTTAAATTGTCGTCCGTAAGTCTTATATAATATAATCCTTTATATTTAAATCGTTACTAGAAATTTGTTTGCTGAATACGGAACTTAATCTACAGACCAAATTTCGGCCACTGCGGCCAGCCTCAACGGAGACTAGCTATCGGCGGAGGACAGGATTATAGTGCCGAAGTGTATTTACAAGCACAGGTGCACTATTTATTCCCTCACTCTCATAATCCAATGGGACTGTAGATCGACACGACCGGAGAGCGATCGGCGCAGAACCAACGGCTTTATGTGCTTTCCGAGGCACGGAGGTGAGCCACCGTATGGACGGAAAACTCATTAATAAAAATAATAAAAAATAATAACCAAAAATCGATTTTTGGGTTGCGCCAAAAAATCGAACCCTAAACCCCATGCATAGAACCACCAGAACAACGAGGTATTTAACACACAGAGACACACAGAGCTTATTATTTTTAGTATTGCAAGTGCGATCGATATACCCGAACGAAATCGCAATTGCCACATTCCTAGCAACTGGTTTTTATTTGAAACCTTCGCTAGTGTGATTAAATCAAAAATTGTGAATAATATGGAAGTGGAATAATGAAAAAACTTTTGATTGAACATTTGTTTGAGAGAAGCAGTAGAAAAAATCTTATAAGGTTGTTGAATAGTGCTCCAATTCTTTGCAAAGGAAAGGCATATTAATTTTAAATTACATTACAAGATGGCAGAAATGTTAAGACAAGATAAGTGGATACTTTGTCAAAAAGTACCAACAAAATATAAAACTAATGTTTTGGGTTATTGCACATCTCTTTGTAAAAGCGAACATCCAAGAACATCACTTTTGGTATTTAAATTTAAAAGTATACTGTACATATAATATTATGCATTAAAGTAATCACTACATATGTACTATTATGGTCGCCACACACGATCAGTTAAAATGATCAGTTGAACTGACGTATATCCAAAAACCGACCGTGAATGTGAAATTTTAAGTTCAAATTTTCAACTGACGGTACTCCACGGACATTTCCGGGCTTACCATAATCCGCTGGCTTCAGTTCGTTTTAATCACTGGTAAGAACTTACTTTTTAGTAGCTACTTACATTATTTCTATGTTGTTTAGATTTTTTATTACTTTATATATATAGAAAATTTAGTTTGACGGAGGATGAAGACTAAGGTGACTGATGGTAAGGTTAAGGCTAAGGTGATGATGTCACCGTCCTTATGATTGACTTAGAAGGTGGGTAAAGGATCACAGTGGTGCTACGTAGAACCACTGTGTTATGACTCATTTTCAAAAAGGTTCATAAAGACCAACATGACTGTGATGATATGACCTAGCTGATATTGGACTCCGAAGGTAGGTATAGGACCTTATTTACGCGCTACATAGAACCACTGTGTTTGGACTCATTTGAAAGGGCTCAAAAAGACCTAGGTAACTGTGATAACCTCAAATTTCTGATGGTGGACTCAATACCCGGGTAAAGGATCTCTGTGTTGGCATTATGTGGAACCCATCGTTTTTAGACTCATTTAAATACCAAGGAACATGTAATGATATTACCTAACTGATGATGGTGGACTCCGAAGGTGGTTATAGGATTTTAGTGACGGTACTACGCAGAACTATCGTGTTTGAACTCAATCCAAAGGGCTCATAAAGACCTAGGTGACTATTATGATCTCACCTTTCTGATGGTGCAATCCAAAGGAGTGTATAAAATCTCAGTGATGGCACTATATAGAACTATTGTGTTTGAACTCATTTGAAATGGCTCATAAAGATCTAGGTCACTGTGGTGATCTTACTTTCATAATGATAGACTTAGAAAGTGGGATAAAAGATCTCAGTGATGCCACTACGAAACACAATCGTGTTTGGGCACATTTGAAAGGGCTCGGGTAGACTAAGATTGAGTAAATATGCCGTGATTTTAAGAAATAGTAACCAGTTAAAATACCCTTTTAGATTTATTGTGATTTGTGGGTTATTACTCTATTATATTATATATTACTCACTTAATTTATCATGTTTTCGGGCTATTAAGAAACCAGCAAAACTCCCAAGTAGGTACAAAATTAGAAATCTCACGTTTGAGTAGATTCCTGGATGGCTTATATTCATAAAGTAAAATAAAGTTACAGCCTATATACGTTCCACTGCTGGGCACACGCCTCCCCTCATTTGTGAGAGGGTTTTATGGCAAGGAAGTGTCCGCCACGCTGCACCAATGCGTGTTGGCGAACTACACATGTCTTCGAAATATTTTTTTTCTTATTCCTCAGACATGCAGGTTTCCTCACGATGTTTTCCTTCACCGCCGAGCACGTGGTATATCAGCACTTAAAATTGCAATTAACAATTTCATTGGTGCCGGCGGGGATCGAACTCAGGTTACTCGCTTTCTCTGTTATATTTACAGCGAGCGTTAACCATCTGAGCTACCACGGCTCCTGCTTATATTCATAATTTGACCCAATAGGTAGAGTTGTCGAGATCCAGAAATCACTCGTGCGAAGTCGGGGCGGGTCACTAGCTTAAAATAATAACTGCCCTCATTTAAATTGCTATATGCCCCTATGACGTCACTTGGTTATATTGTGTAAGCAGTCTAAGAATAACGTTTCGTGTGATATGTAAATTAAAATAAAATAAAAGACTAAAATAACTCATCCCTCCCTTGCAAGGAGTTTGAAATTTCTCCAAGTAAATAATGGTTCACAGCAGGAAAAAAATGGCGGATACGAACCTAAGACGCAATGATTCACAGAGTGTTCGTTAAAACCTATTGCTTGGCGATTAGACGACTCGTATCAACTTAAAAAACATATCAATAGTATTTTTTAACCTCTAGAAACCTTGCTTTAGAAAAACTGTAATAAATAGACATTTCACACATATATTTTAGTTACGAGTAGCAATACGAGTATAATCTCTTTATTTACATAACACATACTTCAAACGGAAGATTAAACCTTTTCAGCTTTCAAATAAAGCCTTTTCAATAAGAAATAATAAAATCTAAAATCGACTTGCTATTGAATAACGATCAAATTTATTACCTTTGCATAATTACTTTCATACCCATCACCCAGGGGGAAGCCAGAGACTACAGACTCTCATTTGGCATGATTCCTAACCCACCTCTCTTGATTCTTCAACATCCATATAGTATTTGAATATTATAATACATCGCCAAATTTAACGATAAATGATCGTTTGGGGCAACCCTTATCGCCGGTTCTGCCACTCACTTTCTTAGCATAAATTCGCTTTGTCACTCTTTCGTTACTCATTTTTTTCTTGTCCAAACTGTCGAAGCATTCCTTTGTAAATCCTGGTCACAACATTGTCTTGCAAAATTCCATTCCCATTAATGCATTATTGTGCTCAGAATTTATTTCCATTATTTATAATAAATGAGATATAATAACACGTAAGCAATAAAAAGGTCTCTACGATTCTCGTCATCACCATACGAAACACAGCCGAATTATGATGCTATTTGAAGCTGGTACTTTGTGAAAGTGTGGTCCTTACCCTGGCAAGTCGATCTATTCGCGCTGCATCCATAATACAGTTGTAGCGTGGCTGTTCCATTACAAAATCCATTATTGAGTAAAATTAATAGACAGAAACGACTACACTTTGTAGCCCTATAATGATGATCGTAACGAAATATAATAATACAAGATTCTAAATATTAGAATCTATAAAGGTTTATATTTATCATGATCAATAAAAAATTTACACCAAAATAAAAACATAAAAAAACAATTCAAACAAATCATTATTCGTCAAATACACAAGTCTTCAGTAAAATAGACGTAACGCGATATGGGTCAGCATTAGCGGCGGGGCGCCGGTCTTCAAGATAACCTCGTTTGTCTTCTGATACTTGACGAGGTATCCTTACAGAACAATTCCGATTAGCAACACCTGAAATTAATAATCGAATGAAAAATAAGAACGTAATATATACGTCCCACTGCTGGGCACAGGCCTCCCTCTGCCCTAAAACCCTCTCATTTCTGAGAGGGTTTTAGGGCAAGGAATAGTCCGCCGCGCTGCCCCAATGCGTGTTGGCGAACTATCACATGTCTTTGAAATTTTTTTTTTCTTATTTCTCAGACATGCAGGTTTCCTCACGATGTTTTCCTTCACCGCCGAGCACGTGGTAAATCAGCACTTAAAATTGCAATTAACAATTTCATTGGTGCCGGCGGGGATCGAACCCGGTTTGCTCGCGTATCGTGAAATTTACAGCGAGCGCTAACTATCTGAGCTACCAGGGCTCTATATAAGTACTCAATTTTTATTTTCATCATTTGTATTTCCTATTTTTGTCTCCTTTATTACCCAATATTTTGCACACTGCTTCAATACTATTGCGTATTGTGTACTATAGGAATATTTCTAGCTGCCAATAATACGATATATTAAATACCGATTCAAATTTCAAATGGTAATATATCCAACAAGCTTTTGTGTGTAAGATTTTTTTTTTGCTTACGATTTTAAAAATATAGAATGAAAATAATCAATCACCAGCGGTAAAATCCCGTATATGGGGCATTCCGTGTTTTCCAGTAAGTCGATACGCATTATCGGCACCATTTTTAGCGTCATACTCATTAATATGGACGCCATGTCGTCGCGCTAATTTATCTATTGCTCGCTCAATTACTCTGAAAGGTAATTAACACTGATTTACAATTAAATATTATAACAAATTTAAGAATCTTGTACCTATAGTAGCTACTATATTAGTAGTAAAGATGTAGCACGAATGCGTTGGCTCCATAGAATACTATATATATATATAAAATAGCAGCTCAAGGCTCCTGTGTTTTGTATGATGAGTGTAGAGAACCGGAGACCCATTTTGCTGGAAATAAGGCATTACTTCTTAGTCCTCACGGGTGACAACGCATCTGCATTTTGATCCGTTATCGAGGATAGATGTAGATGTCTATGGACCACAGTGACCATTTACCATCATGAGTACGTAGTGCTCGTTTGTCACGCTTATGTTATAAAAAAAACCTAGTATTGACAGAAAACTGCCATATAAAAAACTTACGGTAAATTTAGGTCTAAAGAAGAAACATCGTATTTGCTACAGAAACACCATAGGCATGAAACGAAAATATTTTCACTAACCCTTTTACATATTATTTATATTGTAATATAACTTCATGTGAATAAAAATTTACTTAGTGCTGGAAATTAAGATATAGGTATACTATTATTAAAGAGATGTTATTGATATTGAGATGTATGATCATGGATGGTTGTTATTTGACTCTTATTTCCGATACTTACAGAATACCATCTTCTTCCCTCATATCTTTGGTAGAAAAATAAACAAATGTGCCATTTCCTGGCCAGTCTGGTACAGGCTGAGGGTCGAAACTAGCTACAATGCCATACTCCTCAGCCAATCTTGCTAGAATATAGCGTGCCATCCATAAATCATCCGCTGAACGTATACCCGGACTTGGGCCGACCTGCATAAACATTATTTATCATTAATTACAGTTTTCTAATAAATATTTCTTATTGTTTTTTTTTTATAGGAAAAGGGTGACAAGCGAGCGAACATTGCACCTGATGGCAAGTGGTTGCTGTGGCCCATAGACATCTATATATATCCTCGTTTGCGAATCAAAATGAAGATGCGTTGTCAGCCTTGAGGACTAAGATGGAATGCCTCTTTTCCAGTAAAAAGGGTCTCCAGTTCTCTACACTCACCATACGAAACACAGCAGCATTAAGCTGCTATTTGACGCTGGTATTCTGTGAGAGCGTGGTCCTTCCCCGGTCGAGCCGACCCATTCGTACTACAACTATACAATTAATATAGCGGCAGCATGGCTCTACCACGTAAATTATTGTGTACCGAAACATATAAATGTTACTTTATTTAATACTATTAATTGCCATACACTTTGAAGTCGTCCATATTATTTTATAGCCTAATGGTTAAAGAATTCAAAATTTTTACTAGAGAAAAAAAAAGTAAAAATATTGCTTATGATATTAGTAGTAAGCAACAGAATTTCACACACTAGAGATTTTGATTAAAAACTACTTGCACTACAATATGGTTTCGTTTATTGTTACACCCCATCAAAAGTCCACTGCTGAACATAGGCCCCCCCCCATAGATTGCCTCGCAGAGGAGAACTTGCAACAGTTGCCACGCTTCGCAGACAGGTTGGTAACAGTATTTTTATGGAATAAGGGTAACAAACGTTCACACAGTCAACTTAATGGTAAGTGGATGCTGTAGCTCATAGACATCTAAATTATGTTCCATTAAGGATCAAAATGCATATGCTTCGTCATCCCTGAAGACTAAGATAGAATGACTCGTTACCAGTAAAAAGGGTCTCCAGTTGTCTACACCCACCATACGAAACACAGCAGTATTAAGCTGCTATTTTACGCTGGTATTATGTGAAAGCTTGGCCTTTTCCCGGTCGAGGCGACCCATTCGTGATATAACCATAAATATGGCTACAGCATAACTCTACCAGGTATCAGATTGTTTTTAGTTGTTATTAGAAAGATGCTTAATAATCGTCAGTATTTATGCTAATTTATATTTCTTGAAAATGTACTATATTTTGTAAAGAATAACCTGAAAATTCCATTGTGAAGGAGTTGCTCCAGGGTTAATTCCATTAATTTTAACACCCGCAAAAAGGCAGCATCTGTAAAAATGAATAACGCTCTTATCATATTTATCAAGCCTCGTTTAATTATCTATTTTTGTCGTATTCTTTTCAGCGTATAACATATTGGTAACAAATTATTCTTTAGGTTCTTAATGATTTTTCTCATCTTACCTCATGAGTGTTGGAAGAAGCGCCTTAGAGAAATGTAGTTTCCAATAAGCAGAAGAACGAAAGAAAGGCTTCTTGCCGATCCGGTGAAAATCTTCAGACCAAGTTTTGCATGGGGATATATTCCAGAACGATGGACATTTGTCAAAGTTTTATTTATACCTATGGCTGGTAGAAATGACTAAGCTTTACGAAAGTCCTTTAGACCTATAAGCCTATATAGGTCTAAAATAAGATATATAAGGGATGTAGCTCTAGCTACGAGGTCCATACATTACAACCAGCATGCTAATCGCAGAGGCAAATCTACAGATACAGCCCTGATCAGTATTACTGAGAGGGTCGAAAAAGCACTGGAGGATAAAGAAATAGCTCTTTGTGCCTTTCTAGATATTGAAGGCACTTTCGAAAGTAGCCCCACATCACTGCTGATTGGGGCCAAACATCAGCAAATTATAAAAGTAACCTTACGCCTTTTTACGGCTGCTAAGAAACTTTACTGATATTCTAGGTTAAAAGAAGTTTGTCATAAAAAGAAGTCCAAAGCTGTGGCGCCACCACAGTCTATGCGAAATTCGACATTTGTCGACAAGTTTCATACATCCAATCCAATCCAAGAGTCCAAGGGGGAGGCATTGGCCGTTAGTTTGGACATTGCGAAGGCCTTCGATCGGGTTTGGCACAAAGCGCTTCTTTCGAAGCTCCCTTCCTATGGGCTTCCCGAGAAATTGTGCGATTGGATCACCAGTTTTCTTGCAGATCGGAGCATCAAGGTCGTTGTAGACGGTGCAAGCTCCGATTGCAAGCTTATTAATGCTGGTGTTCCACAGGGCTGCGTGCTATCGCCAACGCTGTTTCTTCTGCATATCAATGATATGTTGCAAACCCGTAGCATTCATTGCTATGCGGATGACAGCACTGGTGATGCTCTTTACACCGGCCGAGCAAATATTTCTCGGGAAAACGTCTCTGAGTGCCGGGACAAACTTGTGTCTGAAGTCGAGTCTCTGCTGGACAGAGTCTCGGATTGGGGGCGACTAAATCTAGTCCAGTTTAACCCCCAGAAGACACAAGTTTGCGCGTTAACCGCTAAAAAGAACCCCTTTGTCGTATCCCCTCAGTTTCAAGGCACTCCCCTTGTTGCCTCAGCCAGTATCGGAATCCTCGGCGTCGACATATCGAGTGACGTGCAGTTTCGTGGTCACTTGGAAGGGAAGGCCAAATTGGCCTCTAAAAAGCTTGGCGTGCTCAGCAGAGCGGGACAGTATTTCATGCCGGCACACCGCCTGCAACTTTACAAGGCGCAGGTTCGGCCGCTCATGGAATACTGTTCCCATCTCTGGGCTGGGGCTCCCCAGTACCAGCTCCTTCCACTTGACCGCATCCAACGCAGAGCGGCTCGAATCGTCGACGACCGAGTGCTTTCCGATCGGCTCGATTCACTGGCGCTGCGAAGAGATGTTGCATCTCTTTGCGTATTTTATCGCATCTATCACGGGGAGTGCTCTGAGGAATTGTTCGGATTAATCCCAGCCGCCAAATTTCGTGAACGCACTACACGGCAAACGTCCCGATACCATCCACACCATCTGGATGCTTGGCGGTCCACCACTGTACGTTTCAAAAGGAGTTTTCTTCCGCGTACAACCTCTCTGTGGAATAATTTACCACCGGTGATTTTTCCGGACCGATACGACCTGGGGACCTTCAAGAAAAGAGCTTACTCCTTTCTAAAGGGCCGGCAACGCACCTGCAATTCCCCTGGTGTTGCGGTTGATCATGGGCGGCGGTAGTCACTTAACATCAGGTGAGCCACATGCTCGTTTGCCCCCTCTTCTATAAAAAAAAAAAAAAAAAAAAACATTAACATTAATTGTAATTAAATGTATTAAATTAATTATTTATTTATTTATTTTACACTGCACTTCTTTCTTTGAAGTCTGTTTAAGCCTGAAATTAATTATAACTACTTTTTGTAATAGGAGACGGTTTGTGTTTAATTAAGTAAAGGCTAAAAGGGTTTTACTTTCATACGAATAGAAAGACGGAAACTATTTATAAGGGTTACCCTACGCTTATAATTTTGTCTTAATCTTCCTTTTAATAAACCTTGACAAGTTAAAAATTTTTCTAAAATTTTAATTTTTATTTTCTTTAAGTGATGACAAGAGTTAAAACAAAATGTCTACCTTATAGTAGAATTTTTTCAAACTGTATAATCTCAAAATGCTCATAGAAGTATCTAAGTGTATTAATCTAAGTGTATTATTTTCATAACGTTACTTATTGATTTTAAAGCTTTTCACAGTAACTATGTTTAAAAAATTAATAATTGTGTAGCTTGTCCATATTAATTGCTACAGTATTTAATTTTATTTAAAAATATAAAATAATTACGTGGTACAGCCACGCTGTAGTAATTATGATTGCAGCTCGACTGGGGAAGTATATAAGGACAAAATATCTGCGTGATATAGTAACATATTACCGTTGCGTTTCGTGTGGTAAGTGACGATCATATTAATTCTCAGGGGTTAAAACATATTTGAATTTTATTTTTAATAGAGGATTGATTTAGATGTCTTTGGGCCTAAGCATCTAATTACCACCATCGGGTGACCTGTGTACTCGTTTGTCACATTTAATTCTATAAAAAATAAAAAAAATCAGCCATAAAATTGTTAAAATTACAAAAATTTATTTTCATATATCATAACGTCAAATATTTATGCAAGTTTGTCACTTAAAATAGTTCTTGTTTTATTAGAATAGCTGTAAAATCATACCGAAAAAATGCTTCCATTAAATCTCTTGCTACTATTTTGTTTGCCCCAAGGGCGCAATAATAAGGACCTGGTGGGGCGGGAAATCCCCCAGGGGGCCAACCAAGCGGTCTACCGTCGGTTGTTGTAAAGAAGAATTCTTGGTTAAAACCAAACCAAGGTTCTTCCAATTCACTCTTCTCGCACAGCATTACGCAATTTTTTCTATGGTTCGTCGCTATAAAAAATTGCCATAAGGCAAATTAATAACACGTTTAAAATTTGTTAGAAAAATAATTCCATAATTTTTTTTACAATTTCTAGTTTGTTGCTGACGTACGAGGTACCAAACGGTTTGCTTTTGTTCGGTTTTGGCTTGGTTTAGGCGTCACTTTAAATGTATTTATGGTTTTATTTATTTTTCTCTGTTAATCTGAACCTTTACCACATAAGTAGATAAACGGAACAGAGATAAAGCTTCATACAACCGCGCGCGGTCGGTTGATCTACTACAAGCACGCGGAGCTTGTGTGCGTGACCACTGGTCGCTTGTCTCGTACGCGGCGAGACTGGAAATAACCAGTTACGCTGGCTGCCGGGCAGCTATTTGACAAATCTTAAGGTTAGTGTGACGCACATTTTTGTTTCGTTTGTTGCAAGTTTTTATATCTTAATAAAAAACGTGGTATTATTAATAATAGTTGTTTATTGTAACGTATGTATGAATAATACTAGAAAAATAAAAATATATTATACTTTAACTATCCCAAGGAGTACAATAGCTAAGTTAATATTTGATTATTACTTTTTCAAGTAATTAGGTACCTTTATCTTAATGTATGATCATTTTTTTAATAAGAAGAGGATACTACTCGGTGTGTTTTTACCTTTTTATTATTACATTACGAAACATTTGTCGGTAAGTGGGTGGGTTGATATGTATTAGGTGCGCGTGTTAAGTTCACATATTGCAAGTAAGATTGAAACCACTTCCCGATGTCTGATTGAGTTGAAATTTTGTATAACGTAAATTCATATATATAACCTTGTGCTGCAGTTAAAGATAATCTCCTCATTGGGGAACTTTTCAACGAGTCGAGAGGTCACGAAATTTTGTATGATAGTTTAATTTTGATAGTTTAACACGATTTTTATCATGAACTGCTGCTATATGCAGCATTGTCTCCTTACGAGGGAACTTTTGAACGGTTAATAGCATGGACTCTAAACTTTGTATTCAAATTTAATTTTGTTTGATAGACATGATTTTCACCATAAACTGCTGCTGCAGATAGGATAATCTCCTCACGTAGGAACTCCTCAACAGCTTGAGTAAACTTTATGTTTGATTCAGAATTTACCACGCCATTAAAAGAAACAACAAATTAATAAAAAAACAAAAATTTTAAAAATAAAATTGTTACAGTAAGTAATTTGTATTGTATCATACCGAATAATAAAAATATTTAACAAATGTTTTGTTTAATTTGTCTTTGCATATTGTGACAACCCTACTAAAATAGGTAACAATTTTGCCCGTTCTTAAGAAGCTTCGTCTCTGTTCCGTTTGTCTACTCATGTGACGTTACAAAGTCTTTTTAGCCATTTGGCAAAGGCATGCGCCGACGACTGCAAATATTAATTACTGCGAAACCGCTACAGTGAAGACTGAACACTACTCTGGAAAGCGATTTTAAGAGATTTCAGCATATCTGTATACTAGATATCTGTAGACTATATAGAACAAGTATTTCTAAGGCTTACAAAATATTGTCCCGAATCCTTATTTCTATGCGCAATTCATGTACGTAACGAGTATACGTGGTAGAACTATCCTGCAGCCATATTATGGTTGTAGCACGAATTTGCCGACTCGACCGGTAGGGCCACGTTCGTACAGAATATTGGCGTAGTCATGCTGCTGTAGAACAGCCATTCCATCTTATCCCTCAAGGGTGAAAACGCATCCGTATTTTGATTCTTAATCGAGAATAAATGTAGGTGTGTATGGGTCACAGCATCTATTTACTATCAGGCGGACTGTGTGCTCGTATTTCACCCTTATTTTATAAAATAAAATGTAAAACGCTTATTACGATACAGGGGAAAATCTCAGTGTTAACTATCGTTAATTAAAAAATCTGTCGTACTCGTGAAAATATTTTTTTAATCTAATCTATATTTTTAATTCAACCCGCACGTAAAGGAAATATCATCAAAACACCAAAAATACACAGTATTAGCCATGAAGATTTGACACAGTAGTATGATCTTAAGAATTAAAAAAATGTCCTCGTAAGTGTACAAAGTTTTTTTTATCATAATCATAGATATTAATACATCAAAGTTTAGATCTAAGCTAAAAAAATTTAAGGGGTTTGTTATTAATATCTTATTATTGTTTTATAGAGCCGTGGTAGCTCAGATGGTTAGCGCTCGCTGTAAATTTCACAGTACGCGAGCAAACCGTGCTCGATCCCCGCCGGCACCAATGAAATTGTTAATTGCAATTTTAAGTGCAGATTTACCACGTGCTCGGCGGTGAAGGAAAACATCGTGAGGAAACCCACATGTCAGAGAAATAAGAAAAAAATATATTTCGAAGACATGTGAAGTTCGCCAACAGGCATTGGGGCAGCGCAGCGGACAATTCCTTGCCCTAAAACCCTCTCAGAAATGAGCGGAGGCCTGTGCCCAGCAGTGGGACGTGTATAGGCTGTAACTTTACTTTTTTTGTTTTATAACTAAAACAATAATAAGTTCTACTGGTATAAGTTAAAGTTCAACGGTATTAAAAGGGTATATTCTATCAATATTTTATTGCTTTAATTTTAGTAGAAATTTAACTTTATTGTTTTTCTAAGGTCTTATGAAATCCACTTTACACAAAACTGGAATTATGTCAATTGCTACCTTGAAAAAAAAAAGATTATAATTAAACAGTTAATAACCCACGTGTAGTTTCATAGCTGTTTTGATACGTATCAGCTAGCACTATAATGTGACTGCCACGACGAAATGGATCGTGATAAATCACTTCAGGGAAAATGAACGTGTCGGCGTTTTCAGGATCAGCTTGTGCTGTATTACTGCCATCGAAATACCAAATCGGCAAATCTACAAGTAATGTCGATGTTATATTAAAATATTGTAAAAAGTCTACTTTATTTTAATTACAATATACAACACCTTTACTAAGATAATGGGTTTTGTTGTGACTTTACAAATTTACCTTATAGACACCTATTTTAAAAATTCTATATTGTTAGATCAACATATTTATATATATATATATATATATATATATATATATATATATATATATAATTTTTGAAAAAACACTTTTTAATTCTGTATTAATTAAAATGTTGCTGATATAATGTTGAACTTTACTGTCATCATTACAGTCCATATATGGCTGAATATATTTCTCATTACCGGCCCAAAGATTTTATCACAAAGCACAGTTCTGAAGCATCTACGAGAGGAAAAACTGAGCGACAATATCCCGAATGCAGCCCAGTCAAATTGAATGTATCAATTTGCCTCTTGGCTAAAGTGATGTTATCTAGTCGGATACTATTTCCAAGGTAAACATACTTATCAACGAACTGTATAACTATACAAAATTCAAGCCTACAACCAAAAGGCGGGATTGTAAAACGGGCGTCGATGTTCATCTTAAGATATCTACGAGTTCAAACACATTTTTAAGGTCAATATGCATGTCACCTTGCGATTGATTGATTGATCTTCCTTTTTACAGCTGAATAGACAACTTTGGCTCTCTACTCGGAAAAATGTCTAACCTCACTACACTTCTGCACCTTAATATATCGACAGTAAACTTTTATTTTTTAATTGTCTACTCTAAACCAAAGGATTTCTCATAGTCATCATTCACCAGAATAATGACAAAGAACTTTACTCCTCTATATGGTTAATTATTATAACTTCTTAAGAAAAAGGGTTATCTCGCAAGCAAGAAATTAACACGTCTGCAAAATCAGAAGCTCATCAAGTAAATCTTGTTTCAGAATGTATTTATACCTTTATGCGTTTTAGGTAGAAAATCAAATGTTCTATCCTTGGAGCGCATGTTAATCCCGGAACCATCCACCCAGACGTATGTTGCTAAAATAGTATCGCATGGTACTTCGAGATCCTCATACTTCCGCATAACAGCTTTATTTAAAACAATCGGCACCGAATTCATCGTCATTGTAAGATCAAAAGCAAATATTTGATAATTCTACACTTCAAAAGTTATATTTTTTTAGTTGCGTAAAATGTCTAACAATGTATTGATGTATAAATCTTTATAATACTTGTATAAATTTAATTTTCTATAAATACATTTTCTACTGCTTTAATTTAAAATCTGACATTTTCAAAAGGACTTACATTGACATAAATCCATTAGACATGTGACTACAGCTGATATATATTATTTAAAAATATTCGACTTCTTTGTCGATATTTGAAAAAATATCGTTGGAACTAAAATGTAGTGATAATTAAATATAATATATATATATATATATATATATATATATATATATATATATATATTCTTTGACTGCAACAATAGCACAAACGCGTGGTGATTATCTGTGATTATATACTCTTTGGCACGGACGTTTCCTTAGGTTGACTCACGCTAGACCGAGTCGGCTCCGAGCCGAGTGTCGGCCGCAGCACGGTCACCGAGCCGGTCCCGTGTCTGAAATTACAAAGACGGGCATCAACCGAGCAATTACCGTTGCGCTGTGATGCAGTATACTCGTCCGAGCAAAAATAGTGCTATAACTAGACTACAATCATGCTGAAGTCTCTAACGATCTGGAATTAGTGGCTGATAAATTTTCAACTACAAGCCATGACCGACTTGTTGCCGAGCGTTGTCCGTTGCTCGGCCGTCAATCGGCGGTTGCCGCTCGGTATAGCGTGAGTGTGTCCGTACAAAATATTATATATATATATATATATATATATATATATATATATATATATATATATATATTATTGTATTTATATACAATACTGTAGCTTCTATGGCACGTACCGAAGTAGTCGAATCATTTTCTATCTCATTGAGAACTCTTTCATCACGATCCAATCTAGGTCTTCCAGCGCTTCTCCTATTGGATGGCATACGACCCTCCCAAAACGCTTGATGCACATTAATAAACACTCGATAATCAGGATATCTTTGAGCATTTGGGTATCTTTCTCGATACAGTCTGCTAGCAGCGTTAGCATTACATCGGCATTCTCCATAGATTAAATACATATTAGCGTATTCCTGTGGTGTGTGGTTGCGGCATGTTAAACGCCAAACAGTCCAAAATGCGCCAGAACTCTAAATCACAAAACACACAATCGTAGTCCAAGATAATGCCAGGTCAGTTCAGTTTGTAGATCACTCCCAGTCCAAATAATGCCAGGTCAGTTAAGTTTGCAGGTCAATTCCAGTCCAAAAAGCCAAGCCAAAGGTCGATAGTATGTACGAGAGCCACGTAAGTTGAATTGGGAACGGTGCGCAGTAAACAAAGGAGCAGAGCGTACTGAACTGACTTGCTGAGAATAATAACAACTTCTCTACCTGCCCTGTTGTTGTCGCTTTTTAACGTAAATATCTCTATCTATCTATCTCTCTCTAACATCTAAGGTATTAATGCCCCATTCAAATTCCTAGAAATTGTAACAAGAACCCATTTTGGGCATGTAGTAAAAGTGATTACTGACAATTACAATTTAAGGAATTTGGCCCCTGTTTAGAAATAATAGGCCCTTATTTTTTATAAATTGTTTTCCTAGATTATTATACCATTTTGGAACGTTGGTTAGTTGCGTCAATTTTTAAAAAAACTTGCCATACTAGTGTTCATACTATTTTTTTACACTACGATAAGTTAAAGTTGGTTAAAAGTAAAAGTCTTCAAATAATTTAGGGAATAATATAAGTTTCATTAATTTTCGTGATATAACAAGAGTTATTCTGGATTTTTTAAGAATTGTGGTAGATAGCAGTGCTATTCAGGTTGCCTATAAAAAAGATCCAAATATTAAAACAATTGTGGTCATGGTAGTGAAAAATATCATAAACGGTCTAAATTTCTGAAGAATTTCATTTTTTTATATAACTTAAAATATAATTGGGATATATTTTTTCTTTTTTTTCCTGATTAGATCGGGGCAGGTCTATGCTCCGGTGTTGGCTTATCGTTGAATTTTGGGACATGTTGTATATATTAGTTAGCCGTGCTACGGACGACACTCGGCTCGGACCCGACACGGTCTAGCATGAGTCATCCTTAAAGTATGTAATATTAATAATCTATAGGCTATACAACAACTTTAATTAATAACAAAATGTGTATAATCGCTACGTTTTAATAATAGGAAGAAACCTCAAAATTGATGAGGGTTAATAATTTGGCACTCACCAGATGTCGCTGGTTGGGAATGTGTAGGAGCTATTTATTACAGTTTCACTCTATGTGAATAAACGCGTTTTGAACTTTAAAAAAAATCGGTTTTTAGTGTATTCACCTAAATATAGAAACAACGCCTTTAGCGGCTGCTTTTTAATTCTTTTGCTCATTTTTACTCTCTTTTTAATTCTTTTACTTTTAGGAATATCCGTAGTTTGGTTTTTTATTTAAAAAATATCTACACTTTTCTTACAAATTAGCTATCCGGCTATGAAATCTGTCAAATATTTCACTGTGTGTTTGCGGCACACCACACTGATGGCAGTAATGTGGATCACGGATGTTCTCATTGCAGATGGCGCTTTCATCAACTATGTCATGATATATTTTATGTGAAAAGTATGATTGCCATGACTCAGATTTTTCAAATAAACTCTCATAAAATGTACTCAGAATGTCGGTAAAAGGCTTATTTTTTAAATACATATCGTCTTCTCATCCTAACCGCATTTTACTCGCCCTTACGATGAATACTTCTCATAAGTTATTAAAAAAAGAAATAAAGAAGGACTTCTCATAAACACAAATATTTATTTTGACTATTATAATAAACGTCAGGCTACAATTGCATTGAAAACAGCCTTGAAGATGCTTAGAAATATTCAATTCGCAATGCTTTCTTTCACGGTTTTCCTTAATAGGCTTTAAAGCTTTGGAAAATAAACGCTTTAATTCGCATTAAAGCTTTAGAAAATAAACGAGTTATTTTATTCTTATAATTTAAAGTACAACACCGATAATTCTGAAATAAAACATAAAAAAGACCAAGGACTAAAATATTTATTAATGGTGCAGTGATTATTTACTCTTTGCGTAGGACGTCAAAGCATGTCAAACGACTCTCATTGTCTTGAGGTCAAACGCATTTAAATCAGTAGTTAATTTTTAAATACAAAAATTAACAGTTCATGAATTTATTTTTATCAAATAATCGTTAGTTAACATATTAAAATATGAACAAAGCAATAAGTAACTAACAAAATTATATTTCAAAGCATATAGGTACTTTTACTTGAGGTTTAATAATGAGGCACGTTTACCAAATTTGCTTGTTTGTGTTGAATTGTTTGTGTCAGAATGCTTTGTTTAGTGGGCTTGATAATATAAGTACTTCGACCAAACGAAACTTTGAATTACGTTCTCAAAATATTGATTCTATTAAAAATATACCTAACCATCCAATAATGTCAAACATTTCAACGACTGTTGAAACGTCTCAAGCAAGGAAAGTAAATAGAAAACAGTACGAAATAGTCAACATGTTGTGGAGAAAATTAAAAATAGATGAAAATAATACAACCGTTAGTACGATACATCAAAAAGAAATTCGCTCTGAAGAGAATCCAAGTTTTACTTTAAATTCGCAAGACAGTATTAAGCACATCGTTCGTAGGTCACTTTTGAAATTCCAGTCATCTACACCGAGCTACATTGAATTTTACTATTGGGATGAGTTTGGTGATAAAAGTAAAAGCTTAGATACCAAACCATTCATGCATCAGAACCGGTATACCGATTCTAAACCGTTAAAAAATAAATTTTTAGATGGTTTAAAAACTAGAATCATACAGCGGCCTACTTTTCTATTTCAAGTCCGTAACCGCAGCATTAATCAAGTTAGTAAAGACTCCAGTAACTTACACATTAACAAGCAAATAAGAAATTCTCCAGAACCATGTATTTATTTTAATCAAAGCCAACTTTGCCGAAAGATGTCAAATAAGTCTACGTACATGCCTCATGATTTAATGAACGCATCAAAAATATTCTCTAGTGATACTCAAACAAAACATAACAAGACGCAGTGGTTAAGTATATATTTTAATGAATCTATGAAACGATTGAAATTACCGAGTCTTAATAAGGCAGAAATACCATTAAAAGCTACTACAATTTATGATAAAATAAAGTTTTTCGAATTATACGATAATAACACTGTTATGCCCAATAGCCTGACACAACTTCTTAACAGACCGTTAGGTAGTAATTACCAAAAGAAAACATTCCAGAACAATGATAAAGGCTATTTTGCATTGAAATATCTTGATAATAGAAAAAATATAACAAAGAAAAACTATGCCGACAATGTTTCAGGAAATATATTAAACTTTGAAAACTACACAAGGCCTAATTCTAAAAGAATTAAACATTTTGTAAACAAAAAACAAAATATATCAAGCAATTCCTCTAAAAATTGTGATTCAAATTTAACGGAAATGAAAATTAAAAATAAAACAGATCACCAAAATAGAGAAAATACCATGGTTTGGTTTAAGTACCCTTACATTTCCGCTTACATTTACGAACCTATGTCGGTGAGTTTTAATAGATTAATTCCGGTTAATTAAGTATTCGTTAACAGGTTTTTCATTATTATTTTATATTTTAATTGCGAAAAATAACATTTCTGGAGATGAGGACGGACAGATTTTATATTTAGTAGACGCTACCCGACTCATAAAAAAAGAGTAGGTAGTGATATTCCAGCGGGTTAGGTTGTGAAACATCCAACAAGTGATTATTCACTCAATATGTAATGTAGAGATTAAGTACTGCTGTACGGCGACTATCGGGTGAGTGAGGACCCTGCGTTGTAGCCTAGTTTCAGCAGTGGCTTGTAATGGTCTGTAAAGATAGAAAAATATTTCAAAAATATTTCTAATTCTTTGCTGAACATTATTAAGTCTTTCAAAATATACGTTAGCTGGTGCGGCTTATGTTGACT